TGGCCCTTCGGGCCAGGTGAGCTAAAAAAAGGCGGAAAACTGATTATTTGGGTGAATTTTATAAGTCCAAGGACCATAACTCTGCACAAAATCATCAGATCGGAATAAAATTCGAACTTGATCTGTAACGTGCCATGATAAAACTATATACCAAATATCAAATCCATATCTTCAAGCATGCAGACCTAAATAAGATAAATGAAGTGAATGATTCTAAATGCTACTGCAGTTCTCTTGTTGCAGATACCATCCATTACTTTCAAGAATGCCAATCATATCACAACCAAAGAATACCTCTGGTTAATGATCTTACAAATATGAATTATACACATTTATATTGAAACGCTGTTGTTTGGAAAAGATGCATATAATTACGAAACTAACTCTAAAATGTTTGATAAAGTTCGTTGTTTCATTAAACAGTCAAAAAGATTTTAACATACCAAGTCAGCAGTTTTGTCTTTGTCATTTTTCTTTTCTGTTCTATTTGCTTTTTTTTAAAGTTTTTTTTTCTTTTGCCATACCAATGTGTGACTCCTTCCTTTATTTTCTATAACTGAAGCTATATTATTTATGTGTTTGCTGTCATCACATATGTGTATTGTACATGTAAGGAGATGACTTAATATAAGTTGTAACAACTTGTGTTAAATCCTATTGCTTGATTAATGCAATAAAATATTATTAAATTAATAAAAAATAGATATGCCTGTAATGAAGTAAAATTGTTGGGCACAAAAGTGTTCGTATGCTTTAAACATCCTATTGCAGATAATAATGATGCTTGCAATAATTTATCGTCATAGACTCAAAAGATGATGAGGCACTGACACTGGAGTAAGACTTCACCAATGCACCTACGTTGTCGGAATCATTCGTAGCAGGCCTCCTACGTATGTCAACTGTAATTATTTCGTCTTTTCAAAGCCCTTTGGAAATACTAATCTCGCAGTGAATGATTTATTATAAAAAGTATTTACCGAAAACCTGTTACTTTTTCTCTGAATAGATCTTATCATCCAGATAGTAAATTTGTAAAAGATTCCGTGAAAAAAAACCTAATAATTGTTATTTGAGGTATGTCTGATGAGTTACGAGTTTCTATTTTTAGACTTAAATTTTCCCATTCCATCAATGTCATTCAGACTCTCTCTGGACTTTACATATAAAATTGATATAACTCCAAAACACATTTATTTTTAGCAATAAGTTTTGACCAATCGGAAGATATGTATAAGAGAAGGGAAACATACCAAAGGGACAATCATAATTAACAATTTACTGCGAGATTAATATTTACATAGGGCTGTTAGAAGACAAATAATTACGGTTGACATACTTAGGAGGCCTGCTACGAATGATTCCGACAACATAGGTAGGCATGTCATACACCGTTGTGTAGATAAATCAATGTATATTTACGGCATAACACGTTTTAATGGGGTAGACAACCGAGGAATCGAAATATAACGAAAGTTCGCGACCGATTGTCATTTTTCAAAAATACGAGTTAAGTACCTTGTGTTATATTAAGGCATATATGCATTTTTTTTTCAAAGACAAGTGCTTGTGGATTCAGCATATCAAAAAACCCATATATTCAATTTTTGATGAAATCAAACAAAGTTTAATTTTTGACCCTTTGGACCTCAATGTGGACCAATTTAAAAACGGAACCCAAAATCCAAGCTCTGAATTTATGGTAGAGAGCTGTCTCATTGCCATTCATACCACATCTTCTTATTTTTATATAGACTTCATTTATGGTAAGACGTGAAAAAGATGCTTGACCTTAATATACAAGATCATACAAAGTAAGATTATGGAACGCCACAGCTGTCGTATTTGGTATACTGACATAACGTTATGGGGTTTTATTATTGCTTATTGATATTTTGTCTTTACATAATATGGGTTCGACATTACTTAATGATGTTTTCAAATTACTTAATGATGTTTTGATATTACTCAATATGGTATAAAGTAATGACAAAACCATATATATCAAGTCAATACGAAACCATATCATTTAATATGATTTCAACAATACTTAATGTCGTTGTGTCATTAGGCAATGTGGTTTTAACATTACCTGATGTGTATGTGGGTTACCGCAATGTAGTTGTTTCATTACATGATGTGGTTTTGTTATTTCGTAATGATGATTTGACAATTCTTTGACGATTACACTACATGATGCGTTCATTCCAGTATTTGATGTGGTTCCGTCATTCTTTGAAGTTGTTAACACATTACTTGATGAAACAAGAGTGCACACGCTGAAATGTCTCGCCTTCTTTACTGACTATTGATTTTATGTTGATAGTCCTAAATATAAAGCTTTTCTAAAAGTATCACATAAACTTAACATGATCCAAGAAAATGAGGTCAAGGTCAGATAAACCAAACCGGAAATACATGTACACCTAACAATCATTCAATACACCAAATATAGTTGACCTATTGCTTATAGTTTCTAAGAAACAGACTTAAACAGGAAAACTAAATATTGACCAATGAACCATGAAAATAAGGTCAAGGTCAGATGAACCATGCCAGACAGACATGTATACCTTACAATCAATCTATGCATTATATATAGTTGACCTATTGCTTATAATATCTAAGAAACAAACTTACCCATAAAAACTTAACATTGACCAATGAACCATGAAAATGAGGTCAAGGTCAGATGATATCTGCCAGACAGACATATACACCTTACAATCATTCCATACAACAAATATAGTTGACGAAAACACAAAAAATAAACACTGAGCAATAAACCGTGAAAATGAGGTCAAGGTCAAATAAAACCTGCCAGACTGACATGTACATTGTAAAATATTTCCATACACCAAATATAGTTGACCTATTGCATATAGTATTAGAAAAAAAGACCAAAACACAAAAACTTAACTTTAACCACTGAACTATGAAAATGAGGTCAAGGTCAGATGACACCTGCCAGTTGGACATGTACACCTTACAATCATTCCATACACCAAAAATAGAAGACCTATTGCTTATAGTATCTGATATATGGACTTGACCACGAAAACTTAACCTTGTTTACTGATCCATGATATGAGGTCGAGGTCAAGTGAAAACTATCTGACGGGCATGAGGACCTTGCAAGGTACGCACATATCAAATATTGTTATCATATTACTCATAATAAGAGAGAAATTAAAATTACAAAAAATCTTCACTTTTTTTTTCAAGTAGTCACTGAACCATGAAAATGAGGTCAAGGACAATGGACATATGATAGACAGAAACTTCATAAAATAAGGCATCTATATACAAAGTATGAAGCATCCAGGCCTTCCACTTTGGAAAATATAAAGCTTTCAAGAAGTTAGTTAACGCCGCCGCCGGATAACTATCCCTATGTCGAGCTTTCTGCGACAAAAGTCGCAGGCTCGACAATAAAACCACGTGACCAATTGGGAAACAACTAGTTCTTTTTTTTTAACCGATGTCCATGTCGTTTGTTTAATGTGCCTCAGATGAGTGTAGTATCTATCGAGTTAAAGTTCAAATTCAAGTTCGAGTTGCAGTTCATAGTTATTTGATATGAAAAAGGGACTGAGGGGCATGCGTATCTTATGGGGACCGGCAGCCAAAAATGAAAAACAAGAGGCTCATGAGAACCTGATATCGCTAACCTGTAATTTCAGTTTCAGGCATTTGACTTATTTGTAGATCTTACTTTGCTGAACAATTTTGTCATTTACGCATTCTCTCTTTCTATAATAATATTAAAGATAATACATAACTCAAAACTGTAAAATTTCCTAAAAATTAACTATTTCTGGACAGTAACCCAACAATAAGTTGTTCTATTGGTCTGAAGATTACTTGACAGGTAGATCTAAACCTGTTTAACACTTTCACCTATGTCAGTTTTGCTCTTACTGCTCTAGTTTTTGAGATGACAGACAAAAACTTCATTTGACCCCTATGTTCTATTTTTAGAAACTGCCGTCATATTTTTAAATGGATCAAATCATAGCAGATATATCTTGACTTATTCATCACTTTAACTATTATCACTTTTGCTCTAACTGCTACAGTTTTTGAGATAAAAGCCAAAAACTGCATTTGACCCCTATGTTCTATTTTTAGCCATGGCGGCCATGTTTGTTAATGGATCAAAACAACGGATACAATTTATAAACCAGTTACCTTAAGGGAATTCAGTTAAAGTTTAGAAGTATTAGGCCCAGTAGTTTCAGAGGAGAAGATTTGTAAATGTTAGCAAACATGATGAACAAATTGTGTAAAATTGTCTTTAAAAACTCCTTAAGGGGTCAATTGAAAATTTTGGTTATATTTACTTTTATTGTAGATCTTACTTTGCTGAACATTTTTGCTGTTTACAGTTTATCTTTATCTTCAATAATATTCAAGGTTATAGCCAAAAACTGCAAAATTTCCTTAAAATTACCAATTAAGTGGCAGCAACCCAACAATGGGTTGTTCGGTTCGTCTGAAAATTTCAGGGCTGATAGATCTTGACCTATTGAACATTTTTACCCCTTTGTCAGATTTGCTCTAAATGCTTTTGTTTTTGAAATAGTTTACGACGACGACGACAGATGACGACGAACGCCAAGTGATGGCATAAGCTTACATGGCCCTTCGGGCCAGGTGAGCTAAAAAGTAATAAAAATAACAATATTTCGGACATAATGGTGATATACCCTACCCATGTGTTCCGCCCGTTTTTCCCCATAGCTCTTAAATGGAAGCAGTATTAAAGTAAAAATTCGTTAAGGGTTCCGCGGAACCCTGTGTCTCGCCTGAGATTGACCCCTATTTTTTATTTAGAGTAAGAGACTGTTTTAGTAAAATATTCTATATTTTTCAAATTGAAATGGAGTTTTATCGTGGAAAAAATGTGGGTAAAAATTCCGAACAACTAACAATACTGTTTCTTGGATAAGTTTTCAAGTTAAAGTTATCATTAAAAACTGAATAAAAACTTGACATACAATTACGTCTTCAATTTCAGCCGTTCCTAATCTATGACCACTAACATTCAGTACATCATCCATTCTTCCTGTTATTCGGTAATAACCTTTCTTATCTCTGACTGCTCCATCACCACTGAAGTAATAGCCTGTTCAGAAAAGAAAGTTGTTTTACGTTGAAATTGCAAAACTACATACATGTATATTCAACCCTTAACAGATAGTTAATTCCAAAAGAACAGTCCAAAACCAACAAAATTTTGTCTTAGTACACTCATGCCAACAAGAAAACACCATATATGACGTATGCCTGTGGTGTTTACTATGAAAAAAAAAACATTTAATTTAAATCTTACACTTTAAGTATCAATAACTATTGGCAGCCATCTTTGTTGTAGGAACCAATCTATAAATAAGTACTTAAGTAGTTTTATTCAAATAAAGACCAACCATTGCTAACTTTTCAATAACAGCATAAATATATATAACAATCACAACAACCCAAGGGGCTGTCAAAATCACAGCTAACAATTTTGTTCTTTTATTTATTAGTGTAATTATTATCGCAATAAAAGACCGTACAGTACCTCAACAACGGAAGAGTACAACAAGAGTGCACACGCTGAAATGTCTCGCCTCCTATACTGACCATTGATTTTATGTTGATAGTCGTAATATAAAGTTTTACTACAAGTATCACATTAACATTTTTGATCCAAGAAAATGAGGTCAAGGTCAAATAAACCAAGCTGGAAATACATGTACACCTTTAATACAATCATTCCATACACCGAATATAGATGACCTATTTCTTATAGTATAAAAGAAATAGACCAAACCATGGAAAATTTATATTGACCAATGAACCATGAAAATGAGGTCAAAGTCAGATGAACCCTGCCAAACAGACATCTACACCTTAAAATCATTCCATGCATCAAATATAGTTGCCCTATTGTTTATAGTATCTAAGAAACAAAGTTAACCAGGAAAACTGAACATTGACCAATGAACCATGAAAATGAGGTGAAGGTCAGATGATACCTGCCAGACAGACATATAAACCTTACAATCATTCCATACACCAAATATAGTTGACCTATTGCTTAAAGTTAAAGAAAAACAGACCAAAACACAAAAACTTAACATTGAGCAATGAACAATGAAAATGAGGTAAAGGTCAAATAAAACATTGGCAGACTGACATGTACATCGTAAAATATTTCCATACACCAAATATAGTTGACCTATGTATATGAAGACTTTGCTGTCAGTCTATATCTATAACTTACGATCATTCTATAAATTCTATAAATCGAATTAGTTGAAACAAGAGGCTCTCAAGAGCCTGAATCGCTCACCTGTAATTTTTTGCTTAAATCTTTCATCAATGATTATTTTTGCTTTTCAATATATATTAATGAATGGCTTAAAGCTTCCATTGAAATGTTCTTTGTATCTGTCATATTTTCTTCAAAATCAAAGAAATGCATTTTACCCCTTTGTTTCATTTTAGCCATAGTGGCTATGTTTCTTGACGTACAAGAAAATAAAATACAAAATTTATACTAGATACTCTGAAACTCATTCAGCCCAAGTTTGGCTGAAATTGATTCAGCAGTTTCAAAGGAGAAATTTTTTTAAAGTAAGCAAACTAAATGAACTAATTGTGAAAAATTGATTTTAAAGGACAATAACTCCTTAAGGGGACAATTGACAATTTTGGTCATACGAACTTATTTGTAGATCTTACTTTGCTGAACATTTTTGCTGTTTACAGTTTATCTTTATCATTAATAATATTCAAGATAATAACCAAAATCTGCAAAATTTCAATAAAACTACCAATAAAGTGGCAGCAATCCAACAATGGGTTGTTAGATTCATCTGAAAATTTCAGGGCTGACAGAGCTTGGCCTAATAAACATTTTTACCTCTCATCAGATTAGCTCTAAATGCTTTGGTTTTTGAGATATAAGCCAAAAATTGCATTTTTCCCCTACGTTCTATTTTTAGCCATGACGGCCATGTTTTTTTACGAAACAGAAAATAAAACACAAACTTTATTCTAGATACCCTTAGAATCATTCAGCTTAAGTTTGGTTGGAATTGGTGCAGTAGTTTCAGAGAAGAAGATTTTTTAAAGTTAGAAAACATGATAAACAAGCATTCTGAGAGTATTGCATGGCAATACATAGTCCCCTACCGGGTAAAAATTCATTATACTGGAAAAAATGCTAACTTGTTCTATAACTTGTCATGGAGTAAACAAAAAGACATTATCAAGTCAATAACTTCAAGTATGACTAAAAACAGTGTGGAAAACTGATTATATGAGTGAATTTTTCAAGTCCAAGGACCATAACTCTGCACAAAATTATCAGACCGAAACAAAAATTCGTACTTGATCTGTAACTTGTCATGATAAAACTATATACCAATTATCAATCAATATCTTCAAGAGCGATAAAAAAAAAGTGTGGAAAACACTTTAATATTAGATATGCTTAATAGTTATCTAAAATTAGATATGATGTAATACAGTAAAATTGAGAATGGAAATGGGGAATATGTCAAAGAGACAACAACCCGACCAAAGAGCAGACAACAGCCGAAGGCCACCAATGGGTCTTCAATGCAGCGAGAAAATCCCGCACCCGGAGGTGGTCCTCAGCTGGCCCGTAAATAAAATTGTGTGTGTATTACTATTTTCAAATTATAATCAATAGTTCCAAATATTTTTTCTTTCAATTGTCACAAACTAATATAGATTTGTAACTTATCTATAAAATGTCAACAATTTTTATCTACACAATGCAATGTGATGAAATATATACATTAATAAAAATAGATTATTATCTAATTAAAGGATTTCACTTCAAATTTTTTTTTTATATATATAGCATTCAGAAAATTAGTTTATACAAAATAACAAACACACCTGCAAAAAAAATCTTCAAACAATTTATTAAAGAATGTCTTTTAAAAAATGAGTTATCTCCCTTTGTACAGAAATATGGTTTAACATAGTACTCTATCATTAGATATGGTCCAGAGTTATGGTACATAACTCTGGACTAAATCATCAGACCGGAACAAAATTCGAACTTGATCTATAACTTGTCATTATAAAACTATATACCAAATATTTAGTGGCAGCAACCCAACAATGGGTTATCAGATTCAACTGAAAATTTCAGGGCTGATAGAACTTCACCTAATAAACACTTTAACCCCAAGTCAGATTTGCTCTAAATGCTTTGGTTTTTGAGATATAAGCCAAAAACTGCATTTTTCCCCTAGGTTTAGGTCATAGCAAATGTATAGCTATGAAACCAATTCAGAAATCTGCTCGGGTCGGCCAGTTTAAAATGGCCGTCAGAAAATTAACAAAAAAACATCATAAAAAATTATGAAAAATAAATCTAAAAATTTACATAATCAAGAAAACGAGATCACGGTCAGGTTAAAATGATCGGATGGACATGTACACCTAACAATCATTCTACCCATTAGGAAAGTTGACCTATAAAATATAGTATCTGAAATAACCAACCTTATAATGAAATATTGATATAATTAACCAATGAACAATGACATTTAGGACACCAAAGACCGAATGAAGTACATATAAGCAACTATAGACAACCGTTTCGCCTTCAACATTGATCACAAGAGTGCACATGCTGAAATGTCTCGCCTGCTTTAGTAACCATGGTTGATTAATTTTGATAGTCATGAAGGTAATGTTTTACAACAAGTATCACATAAACTTAACATTATCAATGATTTATGAAAATGAGGTCAAGGTCAGATAAACCAATCCACAGATATGAAACCTTACAATCATTCCCCTAGGTTTAGGTCATAGCAAATATGGTTGATCTTTTGCTTATAGTATATAAAAACAGACGTAACCAGGAAAACCTAATATTGACCAATGGACCATGAAAATGAGGTCAATGTCATATGAACTCTGCCAGACTGACCTGTACACCTTATAATAATTTACATAATAAATTACAGTTTAATTTAAAATTACTTTTTTTTCAACCAGTTGCTGAACCATGAAAATGAGCTCAAGGATAACGGACACATGACAGACGGAAACTTCGTCACATAAAGCAACTGTATACAAGGTATGAAGCCTCCAGGACTTCTACCCTCTGAAATATAAAGCTTAATAGAAGTAGTTTAAGCAGCCGCCTGATTGTAATCCTTATGTCTCGCATTCAGCGACGTTCGTCGCAGGCGAGACAAAACCCCATATCATAAAAATTTCTCCGAACTGACAAAATGAAAAATAACTAGAGGCTCTGAAGAGCCTGTGTCGCTTACCTGTATCTTCAACAATGGCTACTTTATTGTAAACTCATTATGAAAGGGGAATAACTCTATAAAGACTTAACTGACAAATTCAGTCATGTTGACATATTTGTAGATCTTGTCCTAATCATTTTTGCTTTTTAAAGTTTCTATCTACATTTGTATCTATTAAACTTTTCAAGGTTATACAATCTGAGAAATGGACATAATCACGAAAACGTAATATATGTACACTTTACAAATATACCAAATATAATTGATCTATTGCTTATAGTATCTGTGAACGGAACTTGTCGTGAAAACATAACTTTATCTGCAATTATGAAACGAATGAACAGTAGATAAACTAGGTCTAACAGAAACTTTTACCGTTTTATACCCAAATATAGTTGTCCACTTAGTTATAGCTAAAATTAAGCTGGTGATGATAAATGTTCATTGAACCACTAAAAATAGTCGAGGACAATAGACATATGCCAGACGGAAATATAATGTATCTGTATATCATATATGGATAATCAGCTCTTCTATTTTTTTTTAAATATAAACATAACTCTTTCCAAAGAACTTATGCTGCTGGTGGCGCTAGATTAACAACAATAGCTCGCATATTGCAACATAAATCTCTTCGCAGGCAAGACAAAACTAAACAAAGATTTGTGTCCATATGCCCCAATGCTTTGCTAGCACTAATACATTTGGCATATACTTTAAAAACGTTCATATCATAGTTGATTAGAATTTTTCTTAATCGATTATAGTTTTGGCCAAATATGCCAAACATGGGTAAATATCATAATTAAAGGGCAATAACTCATATGAG